CATCCTCTGACCCTGAGGTACGTAAAACTGAATGGGGAATTATTATTTGTGAAGGTTTGAAAACTTTGTTTGCGCAGATTTTGTAAATCGGACCATAGGGGTCTTTGCTGTTTGATATGTATTTTTTCCAGCAGTTTATTTTTGCTGATCGAATTTCTTTTTTATAGAAAGCTCTTTGTTTGGCGAAAATTATGTACGCTGCTGTTCTATCTGCTTCTGTTTTTGCTTGTTTCATTCTTCTCTTTAAAGCTCTGGTTTTATTGCGTTCAGATCGAAGTGAGGTTGTCCACCAGTTGACTTTCTTGATATCACTAGGATTTTTAATGTCAAAGGATTTTTCCCAGTGGGCTTGAATTGATTTGGTCAGTTTCGTAGTTAAGTCATCTAACTGAACTTCATTAGTAGAATTTTTTAGTTCATTTATTATTAAAGGAACTTCCGTGGAGATTGAATTTACAAATCTTTTGATTGTGGTTTACAAATCTTTGATTGTGGTGAATTATTTGTGGTTTTGAAACGCTTTGTTGTTATTGCTACAGTCTGTGCGACAAGTGCATATGATATTAATTTGTGGTCTGAAATTACTTCACCCTGCATAACCGTCCAGTTCATGATCCGGTGGGCCAGAGCATTATTTGCAAGCGTTAGGTCGGGCCATCCTTTTCCAGAACTTGTTTCGAATGTCGGTGGGGCAGAATCTTCATTTATTAATGCTAGATTGTAACTATTAATAAAATCTTCAACTTCTACTCCCCTTTGGTCAGTACGAGAGTAACCCCGTATTTGGTTATGGGCATTAAAATCTTCTCCAATGATGTGGAGGGAACCGGGGAATCTATTGATGATGTTACCTAGTTGGTTAAGGTTTGTAGATAGTTCCTCTGCTGGAGAATTATAGAAAGAAGTGATGAGCAGTTCTTCCTTTGAAGTGTTTCAGGCTATTGTTACTAAATCTTTAGAGGTAAATATTGTTGATGGGGATCAATTCTTGTTATAGCATATGATATCTGCTCTTATTTGAGTTTCTTTTTCGCCTTGGTGTTGGATTAAATTCCAGCTTGACGGAATAGCACCAACTTTACCTCTTACGCAATAAGGCTCTTGAATGAGCACTATATCATAATGGTGTTCTGCCAAGAAAAGTTCGAGTTTTCCAGATGATGCTTGGGCTCTTTGCAAATTAATTTGGAGAATCTCGATTTTTAGGTGCATTTTTTCGCTTTATTAGTGTAGTTGAAGGGAGAGGAGTCATTGTTTTGCTGACTCGCTACTTTTTGCTTGGATACCAGCCACTTTGCCTTCAAACATCCGCCACAAAAGCTTTCCTATCCTATACAGATATCTCTCGCATGCTTTCGTATTATCAAATAAACCAAAGCAAATCATCTTCAATCATCGGCATGGTGTCAGGAAACAATTTTCCACCACCGTGTAACTGGTCAGAATCGTAGAATTCATTGAAGCATCTCTGCTTGTACTTCCTGCGGAGAAGGCTTTCGACCACACCTAACGTAAAGGGATTGTTTCCGAACTTATAAACATGAGCCTGAGCAAGTAGTTATTCTTATTTCTTCCCTAACGAATCTCTCGTTCTATGTTACCCAAGCAGGAGTTTATTTCATTCTCAGAAAAGTGCCCGCTGGAGATAAAAGGCTCATGCCTCTAGCTGGTACTTGATTTGTTCCGTATCACAGATTTTTTTCACGCAAATAGTGGATAAGAATTCTTTGTTAGCTTTCTGTACAGATGACACTTCTATTGCAATGAGCTTTCTACAACCGAACTCTGCAATTTCTAAGCCGCAGTATTATTATTTGATATCGAAGACTGGTGCTGGAACAGGCAAATTAGCATCAACGCCTGCAAATCCAGCCTTTTAAATAAAACTCTAAGGAGTTATGATAATCGGTCTTTCCCACTTCTGTGAAATCGTAGCCGCCATTAAAAAAGACTAATTAATTATGAGGAGATAGTTCTCAACCATACACTCACATAGTCTATATTATATATATTACTAAGTCGGTGGGAAAGCCACTAGCATTGCCAACTAATTTTATCTCTTTATAAGCAGTTACTCTGAATTCAACTCAGCAGGAAGATAAAAATGCATATTTCTATAATCATGCCCACCCTCTGCTACGCCTCGCTAGTTTCGGCTTCAGCAACAGATAGACCGTCAAAACTGTGCACAAGTCATGCAGAGCAAGATTCCTCAGACAATAATGAACGTACATTTTCTGATCAGAAATAAACTAATCCACGAGGACCTTAAATTTGAATCCGTCTCTGGCTACATTTCTAAAATGAATTTGTAAGGTATTTTTCCCTTCTTACAGCATGAATTTTTGGTGAAGTTGAAAGCACGGTCGGCTGACAGTCGGAAAGTTAGAGTTCTAGTGACGGCATTGCACATTTTTCTTAACTTTTGCTAAAAATTAAAATGCCTAATGACTTTACAAATTAACATTTCTCCAATAAGGCGAAAAACTACGACCTAGAAAATTCACCGAAGTCTTCGGGTAACAAATTCCCCTAAAAGACAAATTCATCAGACCCTTCGTGTAAGAACTATTTTGTAACCTGAACGTTTTCATGCATATACAGGACCGCAACTACCAATAGGGCACTGCCACGGGACCCTCCTGAGCTTAGGGGACCTCCGAGTGAGCAGAAAGAATATATCGATTTTTTTATAATTATGGTTTTATTTTGAAAAAATAAAGTTTGCTGACGATATATATTTTTTTCACTTCTCAAGCCGAGAAATTATTTATCTAATTAGCCGAGAAGTTACTTATATAATTTATCATTAAATCAAGAATTATATATGCGAATGCATCGATGACCAATCAGATTACATCAACAAGATGGCACCATTACACAGGCGGGCATAGATGAAAGGCGTCTGGGCGAAGTTGGGGTTTAACAAGAAAGTACGACGAAAAGATGCGGTACTCACGATGAATGTTCTAATAGAATTCTGAGATCGGGTGTTCTAGAAAAACATTAAGTATATAAAAGTCAATTAATTAGATGATGCAAAGGCATTGTGTTTTCTTATTCAAACAGCAGGTTAGCTATTACCTCTAGTGATTTGTTTAGGTTTACTTGTTTACGGTAAAGACTCGAGGGCTATCTGCCTAAGAGGAGGGATGCCTTCGGGGAGGCCTTTCTAAGGGAAATTGGCTGGTGTACATGTTACACATGGGGAAACCACGAAAACAATGGCCTGAGCCAGCCCGTTCGCGGGATTCCAACCTTGGACCGAACTACCAGTGTTCAGCGACTTTACCGCTCAGTCGCTGGTGGCCCTTCTAATGATTGTTTTCCAGAGATTATAAGTAGCGATCTCTCTGCCTATGTGGTCTACAGTGATTATTTCGAAGACTCTTGTGTTCTGGCAGACTGGTTTCTTGAATCTTTGGGGTATTTAAGTACCCCAAAGGTTACCGTAACGCAAACCCCTTAGTAATAATCGCCAAAGTTTCAGAATGCGCCTTACTCTGGTAACCACACGCATAAAAAGTTTTCAGGCAATCATGCTCATTAAAATTCTTCAGTTTTAACAACCAAGTTGTCATTCTGGTACGCGTTTTTTAGGGAGGGGGGTTGCATTTCGAATTTTAACGGTTTTTAAGGATAAAAGATTACTTTTTGTCTTAATCTTGATTTTAAAATATGTGCTTGTGGTAACTGCCTGCATTAGAAAAATGTTGGGTAAATTTTTTGCGGGAATACAATATTTCGCCGCAAAATCGCTAAAGGTACAATTTCTTTTCAAAGCAATCGCCACGAAATTTCCACTAGAACAAAAGAAACAAATCCCGCTCATAAAATGTTTATTGAATGTTTTTTGGAATAACTACATAAATGATATGTAAAATATTGTAGGTATGTATAGTAAATATTTTTTTACAACTAAGAGTCATTGTTGTTTCCTCCATAAAATTCGCCAAACTGCGCCAAGGTGGTTGTCCTAATTGTAAGTACCACTCGAGTTCATTCTTCATGCAGCGGATTAATTGAACTGTCATTTTTAGTGGCTATGCGTTTTATTTAATAGCCATTAGCCTTGCGCCACTACAAGGGAAGTAGTGGCCATTTCATTATGGAAGTACCTAATAAGAGGCCACCGTTGCCTCCTATGAAGGGACGGACAGTCACAACCATAATTCTCGGGATTCGAACACGGGCCCATCGCTACGGCACTCATGGTCACTAACCACTATACCTGCTGGGTGGCAACTGAACTGTCGCTGTCTTCATCAGCTAACCTTCCGGGTTCTTTGGACGAGAACAAACCAAGCTGAAGGAGCTGTTGATAATAAATCATTCATTTTCAAGCATGCACAGCATGCATCATGTACTTGACGATTCCTGTGACTACAGTTAACGGACCAATTTTGTAACAATATAAACAAGCGTGAAATTTATGTACTTTAGTGGTGCACTCAAAAGGTAAGAAAAGAAGAGGAAATTTGCAGACAGCAGCTAAAAGCTCATTGAATTTAACTTCTTGACTATCTAGTTTTCTGCCTCGAACTTGGTCCACAAGGAATATCGACAAGAAAGGTAGGTTTTATGTTTATAAACTTGTAGAGTATTTAATTTTTTTATATTATAGCTGCTGCTACATAAGATGGCAGCCATTCCTCTATTCATAGTATTTTTTAATAATAATTTGCTTGAAAAAGAATAAATTTTTTAACATTATATTTTAAAATTGGTTTAAATTGAGTTTTATGGATAATACTAATAAAAATAATTCATTCCATTTTTTGTTAATTAAAAGATAATTATCTTTAATTTTTCTAAATTTAACATGATAAATAATCTTAACTTAAAATCTAGAACATAGATTAGAAAAATGTAGTATATGGTAAATTAATTATTTTTTATTTTTATACTTAGTGTTTGTTTGCTTAACAAACTTAAATTGAAATTTTTTTTTTTGCTTTTGCTCTTAACCCTATTTTCCAAAAAAATTTTTCTTATTTTAGAATTGAAGGTCAAGGTATAGAAGCAACAGACAAGTGTGAAAGCATTTTAGACGAAAGGAAAGCGTTATTAGATGATGACAGTACTGAAAATTGAACTAAACTCACCTGCTCAGATGAAGAGAGTGTATCACTATATGAAGGTACAGATCACAAAGAAGAAGCTATCGAATATCATTTTTTCTCTGTTATCGAAGACCCTGGGATACAATATACTGTTAAAGCAGTCGGTTTGTTAAAGCGTTACAGCTTCTTAGCATCTGAAAATCTGCTCTTCTTAGAATCTTCTTAGCGTTTTGAAGTTTTCGATTGATATTAGCTTTCATTTCAGATGCTAAGAAGAAAGCTGAAATGAAAGATAATATCAATGAAAAACTTCAAATGCCCCCTTTTTTTTCCCATTAATTTTGGATACAATCCAAGATGCCTCTAAAGTTGATCAATAGAGTTAAATTTGGAGACATGTAAAAACAGTGAATGACGAAACAGGAAAATCTGTTGAATTAAAAATTGTGAAACATATATATATATATCTTTCTAGAAAATAAAATGTCAGTCGTCAAAGGGGCTTGAAGTAAAATTCATGAAATCGCTTCAAGAGAAATTTTTGAATTTAACAAAATTTCGTCGGCAAGTATATGATGGTGCAGCAGTGATGAGTGCTATGAAGAATATTCTTGATATTTACCAAGTAATTCAACCCGAATTTCTTATGAAAACAAATGTAAAAGATATTCAAGACAAAGTAGTTCATTTTGTGCTAAAATTTCTGTAAAATTCGTCATCAACGTTTCCATCTCAGTTGTCTTTAGTTAAAGGAGGCATTTAAAGAGAATCATGAAAAAATTAATAGCTTCAAAGTATTAGCAAAACTGTTGATAATAAATCATTCATTTTCAAGCATGCACAGCATGCCTCATGTACTTGACGATTCCTGTGACTACAGTTAAGGCTGAATGATCTTTTTTCAAAACTGAAATTTTAAAAAAAAAAAAAAAGAAAAAGAAAAGGAAAAAAAAAAAAAAAAAAACTTTGCGAAGCAGTATGGGACAGGAAGGGCTCGCTAATTTAGCTCTGTGATCAATTAAGAATTATTGAGCCCAAAAGATTCAGCTTTATAAAATAATTGATGAGTTTTGTTTCCTTAACAGTTGTAAAACATATTTTTAACACAAGTGTAAAATAAAATATAGTGAATAATTTGTTAGTAAACATTTTACCTTGATTATATTGCATATGTTTCATATTACGTTCTCTATGACATCAAATAGCTGCGAAAATCATATTCTTTTTGACTTAACAGGATTAAACAGGAATCAAAGGAAATTATTAACCATAACACTAGAAACAAAAATGTGGTTAATGTTGAGAGAAACACCCCATTACTATTATTATCTGTGTCCCCGAGGCATCGGAATCTGTAGTTACTGCAGTGTTAAGTCTGCTTTTATTGTATTTTTAATTTTTCATTCCAATTTTGTTCGCAACTGTATACATAGGCACTTTATATGGCATTTTGTCCCTCGTTATGGTACTATTTTCCTGATCTGTAATTTCGCATTTTGCATTTTTTACGTAATATCAATCGGTGGTTGCAGCGTGTGTTATGGCGTGTGCTCCACTCCTCGTCTGTGCCTAGATTCTCTTCTCTTTCATGTAGGACTCGCTCTACTGGCTAACAACTTTAGTTTGAACTGAGGTAAATATCTCACTGAAAAGGCTAAAATCCTTAGAATTAAATGTAAAAGAGCCTTTGCTGAACTTATGTCTTAAAACTGAACTGAATGGCGTAGTTTGAATTCAGATTGGAGATCAGATGAAAGATAATAAATTTCCAAAGTAACTGTATCTAAAATCACGTACTAAAGCGTTTAGAGAAAATTGGCTGTTTTCAGCTTTCATTCTGAAGGTTCTTTTTCCACGGTATCGACCGATCAGATAAACGTGCTGAATAATCTTTCATGATGAAACTTACAGAAAAATTAACGCTCATCATTTTTAAACAAAGAAAACTCATTGCTTTTAGCATTTTGATTTTTTTCTTTAAGCGTTCTTCTAGAGTCTTTCGCACTTCCGTCATCTAACTAAGTTTCTTAGATTGCGGGTCGTGACCCCAAGCGCTTTGCGACAGGTTTTCGCGACCCTTATAGAAGTCTCGAAAATTTAATTCAGATACAGATATATAAAGAAACATTAGTCTCAAGCCGTTCATTATCTTTAATATATCACATTTTCTGTGCAGCGCAATCATAAAATCGAAATACTGACCAAGTTAAGCTTTATATTATATTCAAATATTGAAAAAAACTAGCGCATCATAATAGCGGTATCGCTTTGCAATTTCAGCATATAAATTATTTCAGAATCAAAGTAGGCCGCAAACACACAGTGCGTAACGTACTGCGCCACACAGGTGATCCGAGAATAAGTTAGCATTGCTTGGATTAGCATATAGTCAGCGTTTCCCAAACTTTTCACGTTTAAGATGTTATCACTCATCCATTTGCTTCGGAGAGCAACTGTTTCAAACAATTTTTCTACTTGATTTAACCACTGAAAGAAAGACGAACGATTTTTTTTTCCTTTTTTTTTTTGGCAAGTAATTGTAAATTGTTCCATCAGCTATTAACATCGAATGGAGACAACATCATCACTATAGAGAATCTGTTTCCGCTTTACATGGTAATCTCAAAGTGATCCGCATTTATTGGCAGTTTTATATTACTTGACAGACCAAAAAAATTTTTCTAAACAGTTGTTCTAAAATGTTATGAATGTGCGATTTGCCCTTTATAACGATATTGAAGTTCTAGAGAACCCCAGCTTCCATGAAGCAATGTTTTTCATAGTATTTTTATTAGCAATCATTAATGGAAACAAAAAAATAATACTTTAGCCATTTCTTTCAAAACAAAAAGTAATGCTACTATATGCAATTGATATCAATTCCAAATGTAATTATAATTTTATGGAAGACACGTTAAGCGCATGCCCACGGATATGGAAAACCTTTTCTCTTTTCAAAACCTGCCAGTGATCATCTGGCTACTACATTTAGCCTTACGCACCACTTTGCCTAGGTTTTATCAATTAACGGGAAATCCAAAGCCACTGCTTTAAATCCTGAAAATAGAAGGTCTGCTGTTTGGACTATCTGCAGAGTGAACAATGAAAACTGAACAGTAAAAACTTAATTTTCCCCGTGAATAATCACGTTCAGACTCCAGGCCATCCCAGTGTAGAAGAGAACGTTTTTCGAATATTACTACAGCATTTGTGCGAATACAGTAATCCTAAATTCTGTTGCACTGAAGTGAAAAAAAATAACTAATAACAAACTTAATGGCTGTGAAAGGAAAGATTTCACTAGAATGCATAAAATTTTAAAAAGGAATCTCTAAAATGTAACAAATTTAAAAGCTGAAAACCTGCAGTTTAATTTGAAAATAAAAAAAAAATTAAATAAAAATTACAGTGTCATAAAAATCACTATTTTCAGGAAAATTCTTAAGATGTTCCACCATAAAATTTATATTATAGAGTTAGTGTTACATTTTGTTTTGATGATAAATAAAAGCAGTTTCTTCTGCTCGTATAAACAAGTGATTATACTAAATCTAACTAATTATATGACTACATATCTCTGAAATCAGATCATAAATTATCATTGAATTCTTATTGAATTCCTGAACATTCGGAGTATAATCTAAGCGATTATTTGGCGAAAGTAGAAAATTTTCCGTTTTCCTTCATGCATCTTCTCCCAACATTTCACTCACTATTATAATTTTTCATGCGGGCATTATCAGATTCTCATCGGCTGTGTTCCTTTTCTGTGCAATAAGCTCTGCTACCAAATAGCTTGCTTCCCGAGCCTTTTCACTAACTGTGGATGTATTTACAAATGTTGTATTCTATTCATTTTGAGAATTTAAGAGAATTAAAGTAATTGTCATTTTTATTTTTCATGTTAGTATGATTCGTCTTGGAATATCTGCTCAATTTTGTTAGAGCCATTGCCGCATTCGAAAATTTTTTACCATTAACGAGACACAATGGGAGAGGACATTCTTGATCACCAATCCTTGTAAAGCCCAATGATAAATAACTTTCATTGTAATGACGAACCTTTTTGCACTTCTTTCGTTATCAGTCTTTCGAAATATTGTTATGAGGTTCTAAATCTCCATCACTAGTCTCTTCAGTATTATCTGTATTCCTTATTTATTCTTATTTCTTATATTTTAACCGTTAAAATCTATAGAATTCAAAAATAAGAAATAAAACCTAATATAATAATAGTAAAAATAACATTAAAATAAATAATAGTAAAATGAAAAATACGCACTTTCAGTCTTTTTAACCAACCGCATTATCCTACAGTTCTTGTATCACGAATGCATATAGACTAGATTCTAGTCCCCACCACACAAAATTTAAGTCCGTGAGAGCTGAAAAACTTGTCATGGACTGACAGCTGAAAAGCAAAGACTATGCTCGGTTAGGCATGTGTTGCATGTATAGCCTTGCAATGCCAATGTGAAAATGCCCTAACGAAAATTGTGAAAATTCCTTGCAATGCCCTAACGAAAATTGTGAACGAATAAGTTTATTTCCTTCCGTTAAAAAAAAAAGTTTTAGGGTGGAGAGGGGTCAATTGAACTGGTAACGCAAGTAACAAAGAAATTCACACAACTTGTTGACGGCGTCTGATAAGTCTCCGAGCATTGCCGAACATCCAAAGGCAGCTTTTCAATTATCCATCGGCTAGAAAGACTCTCACAGTCTCATCCAATTTCTCCATCGAAGTTACTCGAGTACAATACCGAAATCGGGTAAAATGTTGTTTTCCTTTTTATGACGTACGTGTCAGTTCCCTATTTCTTGCGGAACGTGTTTGAGAAACACTGAATGTAGTGATATCGCTTTCCAATGTAGAGAGCTGTTTCTCTTTCAAGGCAGCAACTCTGTATATTGCAAGGATAATATAATATTGCATGTTTTGCTGGACTAAGGCTGATATTTATTTCAATAATTATTATGAGATGTTATTTTACTTATACTTTAGGGTGAAAATATTTTTTACCCTTGGATAAATGGCTAAACTTTAGTAACAAAATGACGCTGATCGCAGTGCTAAAACAGGTCTTGAAGCAGGATCTAGTGATTAGAGCGAGGCATCTAAAATGCGAAAAAGAAATTAAGATCAGCCATTTCTCCCATTCAGCTTTACTTTCAACAACTGTGATGGTAATGAACAATTTCTTTAACTTTAAACAATGTTTTGTCTACGGAGAGCGTGAAACCATCACAACTAAAAAGGCATCTTGAGTCCAAGCGTGCTTCGTACGTCAGTTAACCAAAAGAATATTTCGAACGACTATATTCAAACGACTTCAATCTTCAAATAAAGAAAAACAATATTTTGAGAAATTTATGACTGTTAGCGAAAACTACTGGAAGTTTCATATCTCACTGCTAAAAATGAAAAGCCATACACCATCGAAAAAGATATTTTACTACTTGCAGCTATTACTTGTAAAATGGCAGAAATACCTCGAAGTAAACATGGCGAAACAAATTCGGAAATTTCTTTATCAAACCAGACCAGCTGTTAATAGAATTTCTGAAATTAGCAATGACCAATTTGAGTAACTTATTACTGAACAGAAGAAAAGCTTAAAATTTGCAATTCAGTTGAACGAAATAACTGATACTTCAAAAAATAGCTTGCTATTAAATGTCATACACATTTATCAGGAAAACGTCAATCAAAATTTGCTAATTTTTCGTTCTTTGGAAGAACACACAAGAGAGGATAACATATATTGCAAAGCTGCCGAATTTTTTAAATTGAAAGTTTAGAATAAAAAATTGCATTGGAGTATGCACAGATAGTGCAAAAGCGATGGCGGCCGAAAGTATTGGTTTCAAATCACTTGTTAAAGCTGCTGAACTACCATGTAACTTTTATACACTGGCTGATCTATTGAGATGCCTTTGCAGGAATAAAATTAGCATCAAACTGAA